GAAAAAGATCGAACTGCTGCATGCATCGGATGCCTGATAACGGTCATCAACACACTACCATCGCTGACAAAGCTTCAATTGCTCCGAAGAACTCTAGGACGCAGCGTTTAAAGGAGGAGAACAGCAAAAAAAAATGAACTTTGAGAACACCAGCTGCGACAAGACCAACTTCCACGCATAAATACAAGTACAACTACCGCCAATCGCTGCTATCCGGCCGTCATCGGATCGACGCTAAGGTAAACGTAGAACATGAAATGCATAAACCCTGCTTTGCTCTCGCACTACCATCGGATCGACGTCGCGTTTCAAGCACAACAGTACCAAAAAGATCGAACTGTTGCATCCATCGATGCAAAACAAAACGAACATGAACAAACCACCATCGTTGACAAAGCTTCAAGTCAAAGTGACCGAACTGTACGACGCAATGTTCAAAGTACGAGCAACAAAAATCGAACTTTGAAAAGACCATCTGCGAAAAGACGAACTTTGACGCATAAATACAAGTACAACTACCGCGAATCGCTGCTATCCAGCCCAGAAGATGGACTGTTCCTACGAGGACGCAAACTTCGGATGGCATCTGCAAGAACGAGATAACCCTTCTCCACCCAGTCTCCAGTTATAGTGGCTATCCTCTCACGCGACGCAATGTCCTGCTGCATAAGTTCCCGATGAAGCTCAGCCTGGTGCCTTGCGATGTCACGTGTCGCTTCGCAACGCATCTTCACGCACTCCCTGTCAGAACGTGTCAAAGCGCTGGTGTGATCACGCATAGCACCTGTTATAGCCTGCATACTCGACTCGCGTGCATTTGTCGCAGTTCTCCGCCGTTTACCGAGCACAGGATCGAAGCTCGTTGAATGCGGCCCTCGTCGTGAAGTTCTAAGCCCCGGTGAACTGCCCGACCCGGCCGCCGGGTCTTCACTCCCTCCTTCCGTCTCACCATCAACGTCGTTGCACCTCTCACTGTCCTCAAGACGCTCCTCGTCCGCCCCTGAATCCATCAAATTCGTGAGATTAATGGAGTCCTTGTCTTTCTCCACTGGGTGTGTGATGTCATACACCGCCCTACGGAGAACGAAGTCGACGTTGTACTTCTTTCGCCTCGATGCGTTCATGTCCCAGTAACTCGGCAAACCAGACCAGCCTTCGTGCGCCTTCAATCTTCGGTAGTAGTCGAGGAGTGTGTTGAACTTGTTCTTGCACTGATCAGCRTTACGGTTGAAGCCCTTCCCCTTCATGCGCTGCTCCACATCCTTCCAKAAACCTAGTTTCAGCCGCGCRCGACCCAACGGCTCTGTSTCTTCCCCCAGAAGACTCTTCACTTCATTCCTAAACCGGCACARCCACTCTGTCTYGGTCTCTCCCCACCGATCYGTRTTCTTCTCCCGTGACGGTGGTCGTGTTGGGGGSCCTTCGCATGGCCGTGYCGTCGACGTGCCCGCCGAGTTCTCCACACTGCATGGAGTGTGCTGCGAGGTGGACGGCGCAGCGACCGGAGACGGGGTGTTCAGACCTTCAAACGRCACACGTGGGGGAGGGCTGCRCCCTGCGGCCGTCGGATCCGCAACTGCATCGCCTTCGACCGCCGTCCTCGTAGGCCACTCCACCGGTGGGACAMCGGYTTCGTTGTCCMGAATGATGCGGTTGATGACGTACTCCGCTRACCYGCTTCGTGCTCTAASCGGTTGCGGTGAAACATCTCGAGGGATCGRCTCAGGTGACAGTGGGAAACTCGCGTSRCGAGTCGCCGACATTGCTGCAGGGGGCGTTGACGAACGGCACCCCAMCGTCTCATTGTCCACARAACTGACAGTCGAGGGACCTGGACTGCCATGGCCGCGTCCGTCRTGACGAGCAGGAGATGTCATGACACCACTCATGCCACGTTCGTYCRGTRACATACAAAGCCCGTCTGACATGGCCATCGCACGCATTCGCAGTTGCTGCCGAAGAGCAACCTCATCCTCTCCACTTAACCCGATTCGGAACCCCCCCACGGGCGATACGGGAGATGAAAAGTGTYTGTGACTTGTGACAACAGACTGCACTGGAACGTCCGTCACAACGGCACAACCATGTGCATTGTCTGGGCCACGGACGGGCCCCCCACTCCATGCTGGACCCCCGAACAGGAAGGCAGAGCTCGTGTGGGGCCGCTGCACATCTCCCTCCGCTCCTCCGATGGTGTCTCCAATGGGACATTGGGACTGGGAGCCAGAGAGAGAGAGAGACTGCTGTTCCTGTCCCGCCACCTGTGATGACGAAGAGAAACGTGCACAGCAGGTGGGGCCTCATTTTGGGTCTCCGAGTAACCCCACTCTTCGATAGAAGACAGGCCTGCAGGCTGTGAGTAGTGGTCCATGGAGGGCTGTTCGTCGTCTTCCGCGTTCACTCAGTTAACGGTGCAAGACGACGAACTGCAGATGAGCGAGACGGAGAGAAACGGACTTTCAGGAGACAGCATATCCCGACGTGCACAAAACGGCACTTTTGCATGTCGTGCTGGATAGGGCGAGAGGCTGAGGGCGACACCGTTCATGCGTGTCGGTACAGCACGAGCACCTGCCTCCCTACGAAAAGCCTCGCCACGATCTGTATGTTCCCGTACCCGGCGGCTACGATCATTCCATTTCTTGATTTGTAACCCATAGACCGTACCCTTTTCTTTACGATAACCCATGCGTTTCCACATGGGGACTTTCCTCTTTCGGAAAGTACAGGACGGACTGCGTGGTCGACCCGGAAAAAAAGGCGGACGCATGACTCCCACAAACGAGACTAGATTCCAACACGCGCGAATTCACCACACCCTTATTGCGGACACATACACCCCAGTTGCAAGATATAAGGTTACAACACTGACACCGTCTGCAACGGCGCGTAAGAAAGCCTCGACTCAGTAATTTATTGGGCAAGGCGCATATTCTCTATTTTACGACATAAGAAAATAAAAGAACATCGATGCAAAAACGACCCCCACCTCGGACCTCCCCAATATTGCAGCTTCGCGCCAACGCAAAGTGGCTACCTAAATGGGCAAAAAAATGAAAACGAAAATCTTCTATTGGCCGCCAGACAGATACCGTAACGAAATTGGTGCTTTTCGCTCAGCGCCGACGATGCACAAAAGGATCAACAATCGCGGGATGTCACCTCTCGTCGCACGTGGTTGAAAACGATGGAACCGTAGCGTTAATCGATGCTAGTGGGACGAGGCTCCTGGGTCCACTTGCCCGGCCAGGCAAAGAAGAAAAAAAAAAAAAAAAAAAAAACTTTTTAATTTAAAATTTTATTTTAAATTTGGTAAAGAAGTTCGATGTGACCCTGAGGCAACAGTTGTTCAGTTTATTTTCTGCATAACATAGTTTTTTTTCGGATTTTTTGGACAGCATAGTTTTTTTTCGGATTTTTTGGATTTGTTTTTTGTTTTTTTTTTTGGCTGGGACCTTCCCTGGTCCTTGCACGGCCAGGCCGCCTGGGAAAATAGGGTGACCCGGGCGGCCCGGCTGGTAGCCTAGACTTATCTTAAATTATTTCATCTTTCACGACCTACCTATCACTACTCCTAAGCCTATACAGGAGCTATCTACCTCTCTTTGTGAAGGGAGGTTACCTCTCTTGGTCGGGAGAGAAGGTAATTGCATGTTTGCCCCTTGTCCCTTGCCCCTTGCCCTAGTGGTTCAGGGTGCAGGGTTGGGGCACCCTGTGGGGGCCTTGCTAACACAAGGACCGAGCATTTGGTTGTGGCCCTTAAAAAAAAACACAAAAAAAAGCAATCCTCCCACCTGAGTTATTCAGGGCATGCTCACATTGGTAGAACATTTTTTCTGAGGTCTGGTTGCATGTTATATACATCTGGATGTGGGTGTAAACATGGTCAGATGCATCCAGGACGGTAAGATGCATCCACGACACTGGCAGGCCTACCGGCAGTGCGTGTGGGTATACCCCCAATCTCGCAGAATTATTGCAGCTCCATACCCATCAGAGCTCGAAATTTGTCACAGGGGTCAAGTCCCACAGGTGGAATGTTCACGCGAGCAAAGTACGAACGGTGCCGCTATTGCGGCCAGGTGCATGCTTTCCAAGAATGAAAATAGCACCACTGGGTAAAATTTTACACACAAGCTTTCGGAGATTCTTCGGTTCGTATTTCAATTTTGGGGTTTTTGGACGTTGTCAAACGCCCAAGGAGGGAGGAGGGGGGGGGAGGTAGTTGGAAGTTGGATTTTGAGGAAAAGAAAAAAAAGTTAAAAAAAAAGTTAAAAAAACAGGACTGTATGCCCGTCCAGTTGGGAGGGAGAAAGTGGGATGTGAAGGGACGGAAGGGTGGCATGGCGGCTAAGAGAGCACGGATGGAAGTACCCACAGGGATAGCTACTATCTAGCTCGTTTTTAAATGACTTTTTGGAATTAATTATTCTTTTTTTTTTTGCACCCCATTGTGCCCATTTTCCAGAAACACCTTGTTTTGGGATTCTGGAAAATGGACAACATGGGGTGTTAACATTAAAAAACAAAAACAAAACAAAAAAAAAAAAAAAACGCAATATCCCCACTCACATCCCAGGCCCCTTTGTACTCAGGTAGGGTCCTACCTTGGGAGTAGGGAAGCGCCGGGGATCATGATGATGAGTAAGGGTGGGAGGGTGTCTCATAGGGGACCGGTTAGGCAGTACATCGTGATGATCAAATGGCCACTTGCTGATCATGATGGGCCTGTCATATGCCTAGTAGCCAGCCTCCACAACAACCTGGGCTTCAAAAAAAAAAAAAAAAAATGCCCAGCCCAACCAGATTCTAACCCTCAACTTCTTCCATACACCCCCCCCCCCTTTTTTTTTTTTTTTTTTTTGAAAACAAACTGCCTCGGAGGCAGCTTGAGGTGCTGGTAGGAGCAGTCAGGTCAAGCTGGTCCGGGGCAGGCTCCGTCTATTGGTGGGGAGCACAGTCAATATAGATACTGGTCGCCTGATGTGGGCTAATAGACTGTGACAGTCCTTCGGGACATCTGTTAAAATTGGAACGATACAGAGAAGATTAGCATGACCCCTGCGCAAGGATGACACGCATAAATCGAGAAATGGTCCAAATTTTTATGGTACGGTCATACCAAGGCTAATGCGCCCGTAAAAAAAAAACAACAGACTGTGACATATTTTGTGTGTAATATGGTGTGACTGTTTGTAGGCATGTGGTACATGTATTGAGTGTAATGTAGTGTGTATGTTTGTAGGCGTATAGTACAGTACTATCCATGTCTATCTGTGTTTGCAATCAGCAGCATGAGTAATGTTGTACTGGGGCGTAATATCAAGCAGCGTTTGACAGTGTTTGACAGTATTGACAGTGCTGTATTGAGTGCTAAGTTCTGATTCCTGATTTCTGATGCCTGATGCATGAGCTCTTGTATGTCAAGTGTGTAATGTGTAAGTTCCTAACTACATGGTGCGGTGGAGTTGGTGCAATCTTTTTTTTTTTTTTTTTTTTTTTTTTTTTTTTTTTTTTTTTTTTTTTTTTTTTTTAAACAACAAGCTCCATTGTTGGTGGGGTGCAATCTATGGATGCATTTTACAGTATTTGGCTATGTTGTACTAATCCTATCATTGAGCAGCATTTGAACGTGTTGTATGACACCTGACTTCAGCTGAGTAGACCCTTTCTCATCTGGCCGCTCTTCAGATTAGAGCAGCAAAACAGTCAATCCCTGGTCGGCTAGGCGAGCGGGGGAGGAGGGGGGGGAGAGGGGAAAGGGGGGGGGAGGAGAAAGAGGGAAGGGTGGGGAGGAGGGAGGGGGGAGGAGGGGGATGGGAAGATGCTGGGGGTGATGGGGAAGAGGGGGAGAGGGATACCCAGATTACCTGGATTTTGGCAATAACAGACGGACGGTCAGGCATAGATGAGGACAAAGTTTGTTGGTTCATGGACGACGTGGAAGTGGAGTGTTGGCAGTCTTTCCCATAGTCTCTCTGAGGGGGGCCAGGGATGCCATGTGAGGGTGTTATCATCATTGAGACTGCGGAGCCTCTGGTTTGGATCAGTCCATGTCTCCATAAAGCTGTTCAGTAGCTCTTGTTTTTTCTCAATGTTTGGCTCAACGGCCAAGTTATGCTACCATTGTTTCCAGGCTGCCTTAGTATGGGCAGAGATCGTGTCTGAAATCGTTGACCGGGCCTGCATAAAACCATGGTTATGTTTTTTTCTCTCATAGGAGCAGCGCATCCTCCAGAATGCCATGCGCACAGTCTGGAGTATGTGAAGAGATTAGTCATGAACGAGGTCCATGCCCCAGACGCTGTCGGGGGGGTCCCTAATAGTAGGGTGGGTACTTCCCAGCGAAGGTGGTGATCAGTGAAGTAGTGCCACGCTGCGTCCCACCACCTCCACAGTTGCAGCACCATGGGGCATTCCAGCAAGCAGTGCTCCAGGGTAGCTTGTCTGTTGGGAAGTGTGTGGGAGCAGTACGAACACAGTCGGGAGAGCAGACCTTTTTCCTCCAGGTCAGTCCGTGATGTGATCCAGTCCGGGGTAGGCAAACATCTATGTATGATTTGCCATTGGAGGGCTCTGTGGCTAGTCGGACGGATGTGTGAAACTGCGGACCACCTGAAGTGTCTGAAGTCTTGTGGATCCAGTGGGGAGTCTCTCTCCCACCGCTTAATGATTTGATTTGTGATCCTAGCTGGTTTCCGTGCTGCTCTATAGCCCTTCTTCACCGTGTATTCCCACAAGGACATTATTTGAGATCCCCCCCATGTCCATTCCCATTCTGCTGGATCGAATGGGAGATGGTCCAGCAGGGTGGAAGGTTCGTATTGGAAGAAGCCTTTGCCTTGATTTCCAACCACCCTGATTCTGGTAAGGGAGGACGCCGGTAGTTGTGTGTCCAACTCCTCCTGTCATTGTAGGGCTGACCATCTGGCTCCTGGCAGGATCGGGCAGTAAGCCTGAAGGGAAACCTGAAGGTCCCCTGAGCTTTGTACTCTATAGAGGAGCATGGGTAGGGCCATGGATTCCGTCTTCACCACCCAGTCATTATTGTCGAGGCGGGGGCCCAATTTCAAGATTCGGATCCATGCTAAAGGGATCGAATATTGGATTTCTTGCAGCCCCTGAACCATGTTTAAGAGCTGGTCGGTTCTGGCCTTGAGATATTCCAACGAGTGTCATGAGCGAGCAAGGTTATCCCATACGTCCCCAACTTTGTACATACCCTTCTCCACCCAGCGTTTCCACTTGAGAATTCCCTTTGAGGGAAAGTGGTAGACCAGTATGATCCACAATTTGTGGATGGCCAAACAATCGTTAGCGCCAAATTTCCTCCCATTTGAGTGGTGTGGGTGTCTGGGTCGGACCCTTTTCTCTCCACACAGACTAGCTTAGCGCCCGCGGTGCGGTCGGTGCGGGCTACGCCCGCATAAACAAACATGGCAAAGATCAGTCAAAGTACTCACACAGACTCAAATGCACATATAGAGCACAACAAACTCAACATGTACTGAAAGCAGGCTCAAAGTAACTGAAACAGTCTGGCAACAAAAACAGAGTTCAAACAATCTCAGAAAAGTGTTTCGAGTCGAACTCAATGACAGACTCAAAATAGACTGACACAAACCCACAAAAAAATAGAAAAAAAAAACAGTGAGAGAGAGAGAGAGAGAGAGAGAGAGAGAGAGAGAGAGAGAGAGAGAGAGAGAGGTGAAGTGCACGGCATTATTGGCATTGATAGCTGTTCTTTGAGGGGATATGCTCCACAGGTACAGAGGACTTCGAGTCTTAGCACTAATTCCGGTCTTGGATGCAGCTGTGGTGCGGAAAAACAAAACACCTGCAGTGGAAAGGGTAATGTTGGGAGAACGCATAAATGGATGTGGACACAGATTTTTCCCCACTTCTTCATGCATCTACATGAATCTGCGTCCACATCCATTTATTCCTTCTCCTGGAGCTGACTTTTGACTTCCAATTCAGCTATCCTACGG